TCAAAACTTAGCTTTAACTCTATTCAACCGGAAGCGTTTTCACTTCATTTGAAAAAAAACAAAGAAAAGAACGTGGTAATGATGTGTAGCGTCAAGCGACGTTATTGATATATTATGCGTTAAAATATAGTAAACGATATGACAATTCTCAAGGAATGTGATATTCAAATCATAGAGATATCATTAAAAATAAATAAATGATAAGAGAAAATAATGTGAACATAATAATATTTTTTTCTAATCGGCCTCTATTTTGATATTTTTCACTGATCGGCCTCAAAAATTGACATTTTCTCGCGGCCTCGTGGGCAAAATGCCCACCTGGTCTTATGGCCAGTCCACCCCTGAGTAAAAATTCCAAATTAGTTGGCATGCTTTTACAAACAAAATAAGCAAACGAAATTTAAAACTATTTAGGACGAGGTATGATGATTTTTTTAAATGATCTTATGAGTCTCAGTATTATAGGATATATGTTTAATTAATCTTATCTATTATAAGAATTACATTGCCTTTATCATCCACTAACAAATTATTATTTTTTAAGTCTTTCAATGTTTCCCTTTCATCCGTGGTTAGATTTAATCGTGAAAATTTTACCTTCTTTCCTATATTTATTACATTTAAGCGAATTTCTAAAGGTATAGGTACAAAAATTCATTTTAAAATCAATTTTTATTACAACTTCTTCTTTGGGAATATATATACACGAAGCTGTTATAGTAAAATTCAATCCTTTTAATAATAATTCGGATCTCTTATCTATAGTTTCATGCCTGTATTTAATGACTGTATTGATGTTGGTAGCGGTATCTTTGATCTTTTTTAATTTCTAATAACTTTTATTTGCCAATAACGAAAAAATAATTAGAGACCATGTTTTAATTCGTCTTATTTTTTAAGCCCCTTTCTTTTAAGGTTGTTTAAAGGACGCTATATAGAAGGCTTAATAACTGTTTATAAATAACCAACATGGCCAAATGTTTATATAGAATAAACCTATATTTCGAAAATATATATAATATTTATAATTCAAAATTAAATAAAAATTCTGAGCTTAAATTATGAAGTTACAATAACTATTTATAGTTAATAATTTATTATATTTAATTTTAATAGCGAAATACCTCAAAAAAAGGTAGAGCGAAAAGTAGCAAGCTACTTTTATAACTTTAGGAAAATCCTAATTATGCGAAATAATGTATTCATGGTTTTTTATTCTATATACCATTATTTTGTCGCGTTTCACATTTCAATTACTTTTAAAATTGATATTTAAAAAAATAAAATAAATAAACGGAATTGAACCGATCCAATGTACCTTTATAATAAACTTTGCCATCCTATAAAGTAAATATTTTATTTTCATATATATATATATATATATATATGATATCATTTTTTTTAAATTTAAAAATGTATTTTATTTAAGATAAAATATAAAAGTATATAGCTATAGGTACATTATCAATAGTGTCGGCAGAATTTATCCGGTGGGGGAGGGGAGTAGCTACAAAAATTTTAGGGTGGGGGCTAAGCACTTTGGAAAACTTTTATTAGCACCAGCTGGGTCTCGTCTACAAAAATTATGATTAGTTATTTTTGATTTTCCCATGGTTATTATTTTGCCTTTTATCATATGTAATACTTTTATAAAATCCGGCTGAATGGAATAACTTATTCTCAATTCTATCCCAATTTTTCGTTTATTAGTGCTTATGAGTTCCTTAACTAGTAGCCAGCAGTATAAAAAGGAAAAAAAATGTTAGCAACTAAATTTTATTCTAAAAATTCCATCAAGGTTTATCCTTAATTGTATAATATTTTAATCCATTTGGTAGACACTATAAAGAACAAAGTTATTAGTGGCATCATGCCAGAATTGAAAATATAGAAGAACTAAAATCAGATTTAAGTTAATTATTTTACCTTACTTATTAATTATTCAATCAATTCCCCAGCCACAAAAAAATAACCGAATAAATTGCTTCAAAACGTTGGTAGATCGTTTAGAGAAAACGCATCATTGGGATCATGCTAGAACAAAAATTATAGGTACACTGAAAATCTGTTTGCACTAATATGTAATGTTTGTTTAGTACACTAATTTATCAATCAGTTTTTCTCAGTAAACAGAAACCAGTTATAAGCGAAATAAAAGTATAACGGCAGCTTTAGTCTGGTCTTAAATATTGGATTTTAAATTGCGATTCAAAAATAAATAATGTTCAAATATATCTAGGCTTCTTTTTCTCCTATATGATCCTATGATCTTTATGGATATTATTTGTTCTTTCCCGTTTATTTAGTAAAATTGTTAAAATCTCATTATATTTTGAATCGAGTATTATTTTCAAAAATTTGATATGAATCTGAATCTTATAATAAAGTTTACCAAACTTTTGAAAGCAAATTATATGTATTTTAGTTTAATACTTCAATCCGTTTGGTAAACAGTATAAATATAGTCATGTGCAAAATAAGAAAATTTATAAAATTGGTATCAAGATTTAAGATAGAATGAAAAATATGAAAGCACTAAAGCAATTATTAAAAAAATTAAGTAAACGAAATATATAGAAAAAATTAGTATAATCATTATAAAAAAATCTAATTTTTATATATAGTATTTATAAATATGAGATGTCTCTGGCTGTAGCTATGATTTGCTAGCGGCTATATAAAAAGGTAGCCAAATAGATTTGCGACGTTTTCGGAGAAAAATAATGGTTTCGGCGAAATTGAAAAAGATTATAATAGATAAACTCTCAAGCACCAAGTTTGAGCGATTGTTTAGTAAGGTAACTAATGCGCTTTTACACTTCGTAATAGAAAAGGTCAAACATCGTCATACGAATCATAGCGTCTTTGGGAAGCATCCCATTTTCAACTTTTTTTTATTTAATTTGTAACAAATTTTTTATTTGAAAATTTGATTATAAAATGAAATGTAAGGAAGAATATGATAATTTTTCTAACAAATTTTGTTTTGGAAATAAATTTAAAAAATTAAATCCCAGCAATCACTCATTTTGGAGAAGGAAGAAATTTTTTTAAAACGAAATCAAATTTAGCCCCCCATTGCTTCTCTAAATAAAATAACATTCCACCTTTTATGTTGATCTGAAATTGAAATTAAGAAAATTTTAGTAAAATATCGAGATTATTATAAAAGTCAAGTTATTTGAATAACCTTGTGCTAACAATTATTTAACATGGTTTTCCTTAAGGTCACTTTAAAAAATTTATGACAATAATTTAATAACCTTGTTTTGTGCATATGTTTATTTCATTTTAATTTAATTTAAAAGTCAAAAAATGGCAAAAAGTTATAAACATTATCAATGCCAAATTGTCAAAGTTTATCAGAAAATGGTTATTCCAGCCAATCACTAAATATTTTAATTTTAATCTATTTCTTTAAAATAAAAAGGGACGTAAATATGCTATATAAAACTATAAAAGCACAGAAGGCTAAAATTGTATGAGTCCCTATTTATTGTTTTTCATATATAAAACAGATCCCATTCGCGAAATTTCGGTTTAATATTTCACTGCTAAGATGGAAAAATGACATGGATGCTCTGATGGTTAATAAACAGACTCATGAAAATGGAAGAGTGCGGGAACAGACAGAGATGGGGGATTATGTGGGGATTCATGTAAATGGGGGAGTAGATAGGTCAGCTATCCCGAGTCGCGCCAAAATTAAACTATTTTAGGGCCCTATAAATTTTTGGTTCTCGCACATTAATTTTGATTTTTCTTTTTTGCTAATTTGGATTTCAATTTTCATCTCTTTAAAACTTGGGTTAACTGGGTTTTTATTGCCGCCAAATTCATTTTTGCCCTGGGCCGCCAAGATAAATTAATTTACATTTTATTATGTTGATATTTTAATCATTTTTTAAATTTTATTGTTTAATGTTAAGAATTCATATGTTTTTTTTAAATATATAAATAAGAAAAAAATATATACAACTGAGTTTTTAAATCAAATTATGTGTGCCCTCATTTCCTTTTTAATTTAGGTGTATATTATTTTTATTAGTCTTCTATAAGATGTCATCAATTATATTAGTGATGGTGAGGATTGTTATACTGATTATGGATTACCATCATCATTACCTTAATATAACATATAGTTTCGACTTCTAAAAGGTATAACCGGGTCACCGCTAAATGTCTCCCTAGACGCGGCCCTATCAGTTAGTAATTCAAACCTAATATTTTAAAAATGGATTTCGAATATTATTGATATCATGACGCACTGGAGATAAGTAATTGTACACTCTATTTCAGGTATTAACGTCTAGACAGAATAAAAAATGGTCTGGCCTTGTTGTATTTCATAGCTGGAAGGAATTAATCTATCTCGAAATTGGAGGTGTGAGAGATTAGCATAATAATCAAAGACAAATTGGGAATATTCTGGGTAGAGGGTGAGCATAAAATTTGGAAACGCGCTACGCCTTAGAAAGTTAAAGGCTTTTAAAAAGTCTATTGGAATCAAAATATCGTCACTGTGTGTTTGTAGGTCATCCGGGTCGGAAAAGAGACCTCCACTTGTATTTTACATTGACTCCTAATTGATTCGGTGACAAGTAACTGGATATAGTGAATAATATTTCGTTTACTACTAGCTTGGCAGTTAACCGGCGCCAAATGGTTCAATTGGCATGTCTTATTCGTTTTTACCTCCCTATCTAAATTTAAAGTTAACGGATATTTTGCAAAATTTCCAAATTTGTGACTATTCTTACATCTACAAAAAAAATTCAAATTTTTTAAAAGGGACGTACCCCCTACTTTTTAAAAAAATCCTGGCATGGTCACTCTTAATTTTTTTCAAATCGTGGGAGCGCCTCAATGCCTCCCGGTGCCTCCCCGACTACATCACTATTTAGATCCAAATAAGTTTTATTTTTTTATTTTAGGCAGAGGCAAATTTCACTTTGCCTTATTTCTAAATATGCCCACCTCTCATGATATTGTAAATTCAGGTGTATGAACTAGATATTAATAATAAATTTTTTTGGCTCTGATTTTTTTTTTACTAACTAAAAATAAATAATTAAAAACCCCAAATTTTTTTTTTAATTTTGATGTTCTCCTCGACTTACCAAACTAAAAAAAAAGAAAGGTAGATAAACCTGATCAAATAAAACCAAGCTTACCAGATGCGGCCCCACGTAAGGTTATATAAAAATAAATTATCGTTTTATAAAACAATTTTAATATAAAACTCGTAATATTCTTCTGGAAATTTTTAAAAAAAATAATGAGTAAATTCTTTACATCTTATTTATTTTTACATTATTTTAGTGAAGACTTCGCTGCTCGCAACATTTCGCAGGGAACCAAAAATTTTAAACGTTAAAACTGGGAAAAACGCTTTAAGATTTTTGGGACCTGCGGAGATAAGCGAATTATACTGTTCATCCGCTTTATATTATTTATTTATTTTTAACAAGCGGCACCAAACAATCTAAATGAGCTTCAAAATGTCAAAGGGGAAGAAGGAAAGCGTTATATAAGCCCGGATGTAATTTCTTTCGAATTAAATCCCCACAATGGTAAAGACCATTTGAAAGTTCATGTTAAACAAAATAGTGATTTTTTGAGCGACGATTTTACTGTGGAAGACGCGTCGGGAAAAACTCATCAAAGAGGAAAGCAATATAAAGGATGGACTTACACTGGAAACGCTAAGGACTCCAAAGGGGAAGAATATTTTGCCAGTTTTACCGGATTTTTTGGACTCGTGAGTAGTTTAATATATATTCGATCTATTTAGAGATTTATTTTCAAATAAGTTCCAAATATTATTGTGAAAAATAAATTTATAATAAATGGAGGGGGGGGGGGATTATAAACAGGAATATTTTATTCTCGTTATGCTAAATTATGACAATACAAAATTTAACATTTTGAATTAAATTCATTAATGCATAAGTATTATTATAATATGATATTTTTGAAAAAACTATATACCAATCGCGACTGGTATCACGCCAATTTTTAATTTCTTTTATTATTTTGGAATAAGTTAACTTTTTAATAATTTTATTTTTATAATCTCGACACTTCTATCTAATGGTTGTTTACCGAAAAAAGTCATTATTTTGTTTTGTTCTATAAGGGGAATAAAATTGGCAATTGCGCTAAACTCCTGTTTTGTTCTCTTGCTAAATATGTATGAAATTTTCAAAGAAAAAATGGCCTTAAATTAAGAATTTTCACAAACTAACCATTATTATGATTATTTTTTGAATAAAAGCTTTACCATATGTCCAAATTTGGTAAAACGTTAGTAGTGTTAAGATAAGATGCCGGAAAATTTGTTACTGAAAATACAATTCCCCCCCCCCCCCCCGAAAAATATAATAGGAAAAAAATACTTATGCAAAAAATGCATCTGCTCAGGCTATACCTATATCTATATTATTTATAATAAAAAAAGGATAATTGTATTTTAGATTTTTCTCTAGTGCCTTTTTTTGTGATATCCTTTCCTTTTACCATTAATATGTAACTATCCTGACCCAAATTACTTGCTTTGCAAAAAGCAGTTGCGTTAATCAAATTTTACTTAAAATTCTTTATAAAAAAAATTCATAGAACGGAATTATAAATAAAGGTGGAAAACAATATGATGTAAAGGCCAAATATGATGAAAGGGATGAACACGGAGCCAGTGCCGGAATCTTGCCGGTTGAAATTATGGAAAAACTAGAGACACCTCGAGGTATCTGTGGAGTTAAAAAATAAAACTTCGGAGGCCACGGATTTAGAATATTAGATATAATTTATTTTTTTTAAAAAATTAGAAAAATATATAATTTATAAGTTTTTTTTGCTTTTCTTCTAAATTTAAAATTATATTAATTTAAAATTCAATTTTCAAAATTTAGCAATAACAATTATATTATATAAAATAAATTAAACTCCTTTTTTTCGATGAATAAAATATTTTCTCATAATTACTGAAGATTTTTGATTTTTGTGTTAATATCTTGTAATGTGTTTTCTATTTTTTTTAAATTTTGATTTCGAATTACATAACTAATTTATAAGTCTTAAGGGAAGGAATCTGACAAAAGCTCTATATTCAGTATGAAAAAAAAATGTTTAGAATAGTTTTAAAAAAATGTATTTTTGGATGGGTTTAGAAAAACAGATTAATGTAAATGGTTCTATACCAAAAATGATGAAAATGACGTTAAACATATAGGCCAATGCTTGGTGTAGGCCAATGGAGTTTAGATATAGGCGAAGGCCCGGTGGCTAAAGTTTTGCTTTGAAAAGAATACAAATTAAACAATTTTTTAAATTTGTTTTAAAATATATACTCTCTCATCTGCTTGATTTTTATAAAACCCATATATGGGGTAGGGTTAGCTTTTTAAAAATATTAGTGGGTATATATAGGGCTTAAGATAGAGATTTATCATGGGACTATTTACTGTCCATTCACACAAGAGGTGGTAATTTACACATTGCTAGGTATTAAGCCATAACCGAAGCCAATTGCTCTTTAATTTATCTTGCAAAACTTAATAAGACTCAACAGTAGTGTTTTAAACGGCTCGATTTGAGCCTATTTTTAAAAACGGCTAACTCAATATTTTATCCAGAAAAATATTACCCAAGCCTGAAGATTTTTCTCATATATTGAGTTAGCAGTATTTAAAGATCGGCTCAAAACGAGTCGTTTAACAGTATACTACTCAGCAGGTACATTATTTATGAATTTAAGATGTGTTTAAAATGTTTATAAAAAAACAATTTCATCTTGAACATTTCTTTGTGAAAAGATTAAATTTATTTTTTTAAAGCAAACTTTGTTTTAAAAAAATTAATTAAAGTATATAATTGGCATAAATAATATATAATTCAATCTTTATTGACACTTTATTTTAATAATAAATGGCTTGGGGATAAAATTTGATGTTTAAAATAGGTTAAAGGAAATAATAATATCTAATAAGAATAAAAAAAAATTTCTTTTTAATAATTTTTTATTAAGCCTGCGTAATTAATTTAAAACTAACTGACAAATAGAATCTTGGAGGGCCTAGCCAATAATATCATGAATATAATTAGAAAAAAATAAGTGGCCATAGCGGAGATAGGAGTGATATAAGAGCCTTAATACAGTGGGAAAAATTAGATATAGATATTAAAAATGTGGGCCAAAATTGGTACAAAAAAAATTTAACGGGCTGGGAAGGATAACGTAAAATTTTAATGGTCCAAACCTTATTTTTCGAATTTTAATGGACAAGTCGGCAAATTTTTGAAAAAATTATAACGGACCGGGGCTGAGCAAAAAATTTAACGGGCCGGGCATTTTTTTTAATAAGCCGGGCTTTACAGACCTCTTTGGAATTAAATAAACATTTGGTAATAATTATAATGTATTTATCTTTTATTAATTAATTACATTTTTAATTTCAAGAAAAATCTTATATTTCAATTTTGTGTTCAAATAACTCAAATATTCGTTCTATGGTGTTGAAAATGTTCTTTAACTGCCCCAAAATTTTTGTCTGCCCCCCCCCCCAATGGGTGAAGCCAGAATCGGGCCTGTACTATATCTTCCTCATCTTCAAAAAAAAATTTGTATTTTCATTTTCGGTAATACTCATTTTAAAAATAAAATAAAATTTAATATGGAAGATAGTAATTTTTTCGTTAACTCGGCAGATATTGAAAATTTAAATAAATGTGGAATTTTAAAATTAAATTTTAACAATTATTTGTTTTCATCTGAAAATCAAAATCTTTTTATTTTTCAGTATTTATACTTTTTAAAATATTTGAATAAATACTTATACAAATACAAAAGAGTATTTGATTTTCTCATATATTCAATTATATACTAAATACAGATACAAAAAGGGTATTTGTATTTAGTATTTTAAATACAAGTATTCGTGTTACTGCCCGACCCTGATTGCAATTATAAGAAAAGTATAAATAATATATAAATTATGCTCAGGAGCATGCCAGCTGGAGATCACCCCCCTCCTCCCCGTAGCAAAATTTAAAGAAAAATGTAAAAGTTTTTATATAAATTGTGAATATTGCAAAATATTCTTTTTTAAACAGGTTGTATTCTTTTAATTTTAGCAAAATGTTAAAATTAATTTAAATATTACTTCCTTGTGTTTTAATATTTTATCCCACGAAAATTTAAAATGTATTAATTTTAAACCTTATACACTAATGAATATAAGAAAATTTTATCAATAAAAAAATTCTATTTAATTTATCCTCTAAAAACTATGATTAGGAAAAATTTATAGAGTATATAATGAAAGATTCAGATAACCAAAGAGAAGGAATTTGCTTAATAGAATTATTTCTCAGACTTCTTATGCTACAAGTAGAAAAAAACTGCATAAAGCATGCCCAGAAAGATGAAGACTTCATAAAACTTTTATAGAATTTTTAAATCTAGAGGAGCCTTTTGAGTGCCCTTGAAGAAATAACAGAATGGCCTGAGCCTTTTATATTTTATCTGAGGCAGATACGTTTTGCAGCCGAATTTTTTTGCATTGGAATGCATTAATAAATTATTTAGATTACATGACAATTTTTATATTTTTTAAAAAAATATTAATTTGGTCAAGATTATGAGAATATCGCGAATATTATCAACTAAGAGATAAATATGACCAACAATATCCCAAAATTTAGGTGATCGAGGTGAAAACGAAATTATATGATTGAAATTCGCAAGCCTCGACTTGCAAATAGCTTAACAAATCCTTCTATATTAACGTGGAATTGAGGATTAATAAAAAAAGCCCTTTTTATTTCACTTTTAAATTTTGGATAAATTTTTGCCTCAAATCAACGAACGATTTCTGATTCATCAAACTGATGATATATTAAATTTTGATATTGAAAAAATTAAATATTTAGCTAAATTTTATTCAAAGTATATCATCTAAAGGCCAATTAATTTCAATTTTAAATCTTGGTATATTAATTTTAGTAGATAGTCTTCCAAGAAATGCAACGAAAGTATTGCATATTTTAAAAACCTATATGACCGGAAAAAAAAAATTCTAAAAATTAAGTGATTTATTATTTTGTATCATATCGTAGTTTTTATTCTCCTTAAAAATATAATAACTGCAATATAATTTGTAGCCCATCGTTTTGGACATGTTTTTATAAAAAAATATTTAAAACCACATAACAAGAATAAACCTTTAGCGTTTCGAGTTTTCGGAAAGTCAAAAAATACGGGACTATTTATTTTAATAAAATCCCCAAGGTTATTTAAAATGGTCACTTCTGTTAAACTGTTTTTATAATACAAAAATATTCAAAGAAAATGCTGTCCACCCACAAATCATTCCTTTGTTGAGAAAGGTGATTACCTTAAATTGAAATTGTTAAATTAATTTTTAAAAAATAATTTTATTTATAAAAATAAATTATACATTGTTCATTTGTATAAATCAACAAACAAATAATATCATTTTAAAAAAAATCTAGGTAAAACTGGTAGAAACAGCCGATAATTTTAAAAAACATTTTTTTAATAGGCGCGTGTAAACAAATAAATAGAAACGCTTCAACTCCATAATAAGCTTGGCTTTTATTTTATATTATAAATGCAGTAGTTTGGCTGGAGCGCAAATCGATAAAAAAATTATCGTTTGAATTCCATTTTCAAATCGCATCAAAAATCGATAAGGGGCAAGTAGTTACTATTGGAATCTTTTTTATACATGTTTATCCGATCAGGGAAAATATTCTGATTTTTAAAAATTCGGGCATTAAAATAAGTTACAAAATTAAATCTCAACTAAATCGAAGTCATATCAATGCAAATTGATTTGATCCCTAATAATTTCAAAAACTTCTTTAAATAGCTCAAATTAAAATCAATTTTTTTGATAATGAATTATCTATATTAAAATAATTTTGCCAATACAACTTACTTATATGAAAGAATAAATTCAAGAAACAAGGACTGGTGTTTATACCATTTTTATTAAACAAATATCGAATGCTTTACAAAATATTACAGATCAAGTTTTTTGAATAATAATTTGAGTATATTAGTAAATATAAAATTTTAAATTGGTATTTTAAAAAAGTTTGTTCAAGCAACGTATTTGAAATGGAGATGAGAATCATTTTTTTCCTGCTTTCTTGGCTCCACCTGATATAAAAAATAAACATTATATGGCAACATAAAAGGGATATTAAAAACCTTATATTCTATAGCATAATTTATATTAATTAATAATAAAAATCATTAAAAAATCTTACCTTTTCCTTTCGCGGCTGCTCCTTCTTTAGGTTTGCTATCCTATAAAAATCTATATAAAAGATCAATATTTTAAAAATTTTACTCCTGCTGGTGTAGCTTTCGCTGCAGCACCTTCTTTTTTGGCTATGTAAAATTTAATTTGCAGTTTAATATTGAAAAATAAATGTTGTAATATATAATATATTAAATATTGATACTTACTATCTTTAGACATTTGTGAAATACAAGGTTTATTGATAAGAAGTTTAAATGGCTGATGAAATTCAAATAATAATTTAAATTGGCAATATAAAAACGGATTTTTTAAAATGAAAATGATAACAAAATGTATTTATACTATAAAAAATAACCAAGACAAGGTACTATTAGAGATCATGTGATTCGTATTTAATATGTTTTATTTATTATTATTATTTTTGAATTATGGTAATTGAAAATTTGATTAGCGCTCAATTCAAAATTGATAACAAATCGACAAATATGTACAAATTTATTTATTAAAATTAAATATATATATATAATAAATTTTTAAGGAAATTTAATATTTTAATAAAAATGAATGGCTCATTAAATAAAAATATATAAGTTTTATATATAATAAATTTTTAAGGAAATTTAATATTTTAATAAAAATGAATGGCTCATTAAATAAAAATATATAAGTTTTATAAATAATTAATCACTGATAAATAAATCTGAATTTTGTTCTAAATATTATAAGACTAGATAATAAATATAAGAGAAAACAGATTACGCTAATGCATATATAACACAAGATCAATAAATGATAGATGATCATAATCTTAAGTGGCTAGATAAAATATGAGCCAGACTCTTTAAAATAAAAAATATATAAGATAGAAACTTTTTAAATTGTAAATAACACAATCAATTAAATTCATATTTTGACATTTATTATGCTTACAAATAATGAAAGCATAACAATACAAGACATTTCTAAATAAAATATTAATACAAAATATATAACCATTTATTACAATATTAAATATTTTCGATTACATATACATAATAATCTTACGTCTCAAGAATTACAAGTGATAAAAAAGGTTAATTAATCATATACTGCCTCTGTTAATGGTTTTTAAAAACCACACAAGGTAATATAATTCTTATCATAAAACTAATATAACATTGTATTACCGTTTTAGACAATGTTTTATAGAATGGATTAATAAGGAAAAATTTGTAGGCCTAACCAAATCAATATTTCTTGAAGAAGAGAATATAAACGATTAATCCAAATCATAAAACAATGTTGGAGTTAGAGCTTCCTTTTAGATGTCATTATGGAAGCTAGATAAGTAATCGAGAAAATATTTTTAGTTAAGGGGTATAATAGGGAACCATTTAAAAAATTCTTTTTGCTTCAGCGGGCTATTCTATTCAAATCTTTTGGAGCTAGAGCCCCTGCCCCCCCCATAGTGACGCTATTGATCAGCAAACTCATATTCATACCAAACAATATGCTAGAATAATACATTTATTATAAATGAGGGGGTTTTAGATTGAATTCATGATCTACATAAAACATAAGTAATATTTTATATTCACAATATTTTGATAGTTGATAGTAGAGCTAAAATAATTTTTCTTTTTAAAATTTATGAAAAAAGCACTATTATAATTAAAAAGATGTAATTAATAATGAAAAAACATCCCCGCCGAGGGCGGCGAGAACTTTTTAGGTAAGGAGGCTTTAGTTTTGTGGAGGGGAGGGGGTGGTTGTATCCAATAAAAATCATATCATGTAGATGCTGATTGATCTAAAGGAAAAAACTTAATTTGATGAAATATATTTAAACAAGTATTTGAAATAAAGAGTAGGATTAAAGGTTAGAGAGATATGTATATTTTCAAAAATGGCCCGATTAAGATAATAACCAAAATAAAATTATGCAAGCCTGGAGATTTTGCTCATAAATGGCAGAAAAGTTTGGACATCTATTCTCCAAATCTCAAGGCTTACACTTATTTTAGCTATAATCTTATGGGGCGTTTATAAAAATCGACCCAAATCGGGTTTTTTAATCACACTATATTTACGAAAGTGAAACCAAAGATATAAGTATATTTTTTTTAAAAAATATAAAGATATAGAATTAGGAGAACATACAGATTCTATTTCCATTGAGTTTTTTTTGTTGAGCTATTATGTTTATAATATTTTAGTAGAGATGTGTAACACCAAAAACGTCCACATATTAAAAAATTTTCTACACAATTGCAATTATTAGATATTTATAAAAAGGAAAAAAAATTTTCCTCATATTTATTTTAAAATTAGGTATTGCTACTAAGTTAAAAAAATTATATAATTTTTTAAGGTATAAGGTGGTAAAATAATAACGTAGTAAAAATATTCATGTTTTTAAAGTAATGAGATCGGTATTGATTTTTCTAAGCAGCATAAATATTATATTAGTTTTATATAAGAATTTTTTAAGAAATTTTTTTATAAATGCTTCGTCACTGCTTATAACAATATGGAGTTACATGTGTTAAATTATTTAAGTGATGAATAAAAAGATTTATTAAAAACAATTCTACTTTAATATCTCTGCTCCGGTATAGAAAGATGTGTTTCACAAATTTAATTAATGGGCCATATGGGTATAAATTAAAATATATTTTTTGCTTATTATATTGAAAATAATGAGCTATCATTCAGTAGCATCACTAGCCTTTTTCAATTTTGTTTCAGTTTTAATGAAGTCCTTATTATGGCCTAGCAGCGGGGGGGGGGGGGGACAAATCCCCCCCCCCCAAAGCCAAAAAATGCAGATGCCGGATTATATTTTTCAAAAATATTATTGTTAATATTAATTTATATTTGTTAATATTTATTCTTATCTCATATATACATATATATATATATATATATATTTAATTACATTTATTTATCACATTCATCTACTAAGTTATTTTATCAATCAATTTCGATTTCAAGTTTTCCTTGGCGTAATTTACCTATTATTTTCAAATTTTAGTGGCGTAATATTTATCTAAATTTCTAATAAAATAATAATTATCTCTGAAACTCCTTGTCCAACAGGGAGAAAAAAATTGCAAGCTTGTCCAACGAGATCGAGTCTCCGCCACAGTAACAGCTATTTTGGAGTTAGAAGAGCTGATTATTAATGCTATTACTGAAATATCACAATGGCTTGAAAGAAATATTTCCTCAGAAGCAAGAAAATTATTGGATTCAATACTTATTCCAAATTTTTTTCTCATTAGAATGTATTATTTAATTATACAACTATTTTATGTAATACTTTTCAAAAACATAACATTGACTTGATTAAGAAGATGAGAATAGCGGAGAGCATTTTATTAGAACTCAAGGAAATAGAGCTAGTGTTGTTGAAGAATTTCATATTTTATATGTTATTGTTGAGTCAAAAGCAGAGCTATACGTGTTAAATATTTGTCCCCCTCGACTTGCAGCAAGCAAGCTCATCATCAAAACATTAATATAGGATCAGTAGAAGAGTATTATAAAACAAATGTCCCCTCTCCCAACCTTTTTCATATGGTGATAGAAAAAAAAAAAATATTTGTTATATTTTTATCATGAAGATGTTAAAATATCTTATGATGCCTTATTAGCTGAATAACTATGATTAAAAGATTAACTATGGTTGATACAGTCCCAAAAAATGCTATGGATGCTTTTTATTTCAAACACATTTTAGATTATACTCCCAATTATTAAAATGGTTATATATATATTAGCAGCTCTTTAGTAAACTAATGAGAGAACATTCACTTTTTTAAGAAGAATAACAGAGCCTTGCAGAGGTACCATTTGCAGGACCAGGCCCAGATTTTTTTTAAAAATTTTTTCCGGCCCGGGTTTTTTTTAAAAAAATTTTCAGGCCCGGCCCGGCTAGCCCAGCCCGAATTTTTTAAAATAAATTATATTTATTTTTGATATTTATAGCTAATAATGGCGATTTTAAATATTTGGTTTTAAAATATACAACTCGGCTCGGATATTTTTTCTTAAAAAATTTTCAGGCCCAGCCCGGGTGTTTTTTTTAAAAAAAATTACGAGCCCGGCCCGGGTATATTTAAAAAAATTAAAATTCGGGGGCCGGGCCTGCAAGTCTGTGAAAAACATACCTATGAAATACAACATCTGAAAGTAGATTGAATGATTTGGATCTTTTGAATATTCATAGACATTTAACGCCAAGCAAGGATTGATAATTGAAAAATTAGCTCAAAACATACAAAATACAATTATTCCTAACAAACTTTTTGTGTATTAATTTATATTTACAACATTTAAATTTTTTATACTTTATATATTTTAAAAGCTCAAAAAATTCAAATTTCAATTTTGGGTCATTTAAGTGATTCATATCGTGGGTTATATTCACTTTATATTTTATGATTCACATTTAAATGCCGGTTTATATATATAATTTTTTTAATTCACATTAGTTTAAAATTGTGTATTAGAAAAGTTATTAATCCTAATAAATTTATGCTTAGTATTTTTAATTAAAAATATTATTTCTTAAAAAATTTATTATCCCCCCCCCAGACCAAATTCCTGCGTACGCGCCTGTGGCCTAGGATGTTGGAATATGAGACCACTCTTTATTAAATCGACATATTCATTTTATTGTGTAATATAATTAATTTTATTATACAATAAATCATTTTCTGTGCTATATAATTATGCTCAGATTAATCATAATGCTCTGTAAAATATTTGCCATCTTAATATAATTTATATGATATGTAATGTAACTGGTGCAACATAAATATTTGTAATGTTTGTATTACTGCAAAGAAAATAAAATAAGAATATTCCAGATATAATAATATTTATGTAATTATTAGAAAATGAATGATAAAAAAATTTAAAAATTTATTGGGGTACTATAAAAATTGACTTGCAAAAAGAATTCGTCAAAATATTTATATGAGCAAAATTGCTTAAAGTATTTCTAAATTTTTTTTGTAGCTGGTGTTAAGATGTTTGGTCAAATAATAAAATCAGACAACATATCAAGCTAAACATTCAAAATTTTTATTGAAAATATAATAACAAATATTCAGCCAATTTTGTCCTTGTTTTAATATATTTTACGAATAATTTACTAGTGGCCAAAAGGTTATGTCACCCTCAATTATATTTATTAAAATACGAATTGAATAATCCCCCCCCCTTCTCCCAAATGGGTAAAGCTAGAATCGGGCCTACTTTTCTGATTCTTTTGGGAAAAGCCAGTGCCTAAACATTTTACAGCCTAGGATAAAAATAATAATTTCATAATTTATCTAA